TTCTCTCTCTCTCTCACTGCTTTCATTGTAGTGGGATAAATCCCCCCCCCCCGGTGTGTGTGTGTGTGTGCGCGCGCGCTCGCACGTAGGAAATACACGGAAACTGTTTGACAGAGCGGTTTTGCTGGTAGCTGTTAATCTGCTCTAGAGGTGAAAGGTTTGCTTTCTGGGAGAGAATGTCAACTTCACTTACTATTTTGCTACCAGCCAGTATCATTGGCAACTGCCTAGGCAGGATCCGGAGAAACTCTGGAGTGGCCTATAAAGAAAGAGAATCGGAAGAATTTTAAAAGAACCATTAAAAGCCAGTGGTGTAAACAATGAGTGCCTTTGTTTAAATTCTGGGTTGGAAAGGCTGTAGCTTGAAAACCTTTTAATAGAAATCCCTTTTTTTCCCTCCCTCCACTGAGTCTTCTTTCATTGACATACAAAAGCTCAAGACTTTCATCCGATAGCAATTTTCAGAGGTTGGACCACTCCTTTAAAGTGCCTTGGTGGTTTGATATTTTCTGTCCGCATTCAAAAGGGAGGGGATAGGTTTAAAACACTACTGCAGTGGCTTCAGGTTTCCGGTCAGTGTTCCCTTAAAATGAGTGAGACAGCTCTGTACTATTTTGGAGGTGCAAATAAGGGAACCGACACCAACGTTTGTAATGGCATTTGGCTTTGGAAATGGGATGAGCAAAAAGATTCAGGAAAGACCAAAAAAAATGCATCAGACTGGCTATTTTCTCGGTTACTGAAGAGCCGAGGTGGCGCAGTGGTTAAATGCAGCCCTGCAGGCTACTTCAGCTGACTGCAGTTCTGCAGTTCGGCGGTTCAAATCTCACCGGCTCAAGGTTGACTCAGCCTTCCATCCTTCCGAGGTGGGTGAAATGAGGACCCAGACTGTGGGGGCGATATGCTGACTCTGTAAACCGCTTAGAGAGGGCTGAAAGCCCTATGAAGCGGTATATAAGTCTAACTGCTATTGCTATTGCTGTTGCTACTGTTACCAGGATACCTAGTAGCTGAATTCATTGTACTGAAATCCCACTGATTTCACAGGAACCTAATACCCTGAATAACTTAATGCCAGTCAGCAAATTCTTCTTGTTCTGTTTCTCAGGTTTTAATCTTAATTTAGAACTTACATGTTTTCACACGGAAGTGGAAGGTAGATAACTGGTGCCTTTGTAACCACAATTCTCACATGCCAAATTATTGACTGTGCTGATTGAAGATATTGGAACTGGTTGGGTAATATTGCAGAGGCAGTAGCTTGCCTATCCCTGTGCGATGCAATGAATGAACAAAGGCAAAATACGACAGCTTCCTATTCTAATTGAGAGGAGAAACAGATCTTTGGTAATCAGGCTTAATCTCTTTTTCATATTACATGCCTTCCCTGTATGACTAGTAGTATAATATTGACTTGTGCTGCTTTGTTTCTATTCTACTTCACTCAACCCAGTAATTAGTATGGCATGATAGCATATTTAAGGACATTGAGGACATGGCAGCTGGCAGAAAGCCTACAGAGGTTACCAGGATACAGTAAGAGATTCTGCTCAGGATCTTACTTTTAAATATAAACTCTGGGTTTTTAAATTTATGCTAAAGTTAATATGTGTTTTAATTTTCTCTTTGTCTTAAGAAAAGTTCTTGTTTCTTGCAATTTTGATGCCATTCATCAATACCCAGAGCCCCCAAACAGCAGATATGGGACCTAATGGCTTCTAAATATTGCTGGATCTCAACTCCCGTCTGTGAGGCCACTAGCCAGGAGTGATAAGAATCGTAGGCCAAAGTTCTCTTGCTCTTTTAGAAGAATATTAGACAAACTGGAAGTCTGATCAAAATTTCAGCTGTAACGGCATTTTGGAGCTGACACATGTTCGTTTTATTTCTGTGGAATGCTTCTATTCTGAAATAATATTCTCTTTGATTGGTATGCTACTGTAGATCAATAAAGCATTTAAACAGAGGGCAATGAAAGATTTGTGATAAAAATCCATTTATGGAAAGGTTCTGCCCTTCTGAAGACAGTAATATTGAAACTTGAATTAATATTCTATTTTATTGCACTTTCAATTGAGACCATATACAAAGAGCTCTTAACTCCCCACCTAACTCCATCTCTAGGGTGGACTGAATAATGTTATATGAAATTTATTAATAATTCTTGCAGTTGCAAATTTTTTTTGCAGCTTGAAAACTTGCATTTTGCTGATAGCAAAATAGTCCAAGCACCTTTGTTTGTTTGTTTGTTTGTTTGTTTGTTTGTGTGTGTGTGTGTGTGTGTGTGTGTGTGGTTTCTCCATAGTGGTGGAGGTAGCATCCAGGCTGGGTTGACCTTCATCCACACATTGCGAGGACTGAGCCTGACAGTTAATTGAAACCACGCCCCTGTCACTAGGCAAAGCCCAGTTCCGACTCAGTCCCTCAGTCCCTCATCGCCTTGTTCCTAGGCTGAGAAGAACAAAAAACAGTCTGAAAACAAAAAAATTGTCCATGTTGGTCCTTAAGAAGATAACACATCTTTAGCACACGATTTTGAAGTATTTGATGCAGAGTGGCAAGAAACTTCTCAAAATTCAGCTAGCTGAATATTATGCAGAGCAGTGAATAAGGGATGGATAAGGGATAAGGATGGAGACATTTTAAAAGGAATAGGATTGGATAAGCCATAAGGCTACATTTAAGTAATGATTGAAACTAGAAGCCTTTGGCATTAAGTTAGGCATAGCATTAAGCATTCAGTCATTTCTTAAAAGAAATATCACAGCGACTTACATTTCTCTTACTTCAGTGAAATACATATAAAGAATAAAAATAACCATCTACATATCAACACATGTATTACTCCTTTATGATCACTATATCTATTATATCCCACACTAGGCGAAACTCAAAATAAGGGCAGTTCTAATCTGGGGAACTGTTTCCATGCCACTCCACTTTTATTTGTAACAGTGTTAAGGGAACAACATTAGGAAAGCAATTCATGGTTTCTCCCCCATGGTTCTCTTCCTGAATGACTTTGGCAGGGAATGTTATCTCATCAGCTGCCTGACCACTTTATTTGTATGACCTTAGAAATAATTGCACAAAATGGCGTGTTACGATCTTTGGAGAAAATAAGCAGCTTTATGGTGACAGTCTTCTGTGCCCATTCTATGGTTTCCTTCTAGGTAAATATTTGTAGCATCGCAGTCTAAATAATCTACTGAAGTGGGTAGCAAATTGTGTGATTTAATTACGATGGTAAAGATTATTTTGCATCAAAATGTTTTTTCCCCCACTTGTATGATGTGTCATACTAAAGAATTTAGTGTGTATGCATGTAAAAACAAATCCAAGATGATACTTTTTTTTTTAATTGGAGAGCTGAGTTGCCGACAGCTTCACTGGCTGCAATATCTTTTGTCTTTATCCTGTTTAGTGTGCAGGGTTGGCCTTGTTTTCCTGGGTTCTGTGAATACTTTCACTTGTTGTTTCTCCATACCAGCAGGTGAAACTCTTCACAGCACGGAGGTAAACAGACTCACCTGCTAAATTCTGTGCAGCAGGCAACTGTTGATGGGATTAAAGCAGGCCTGGCTAAGCTGGTTTTCTGTTTTCCTTAGTTGGCAGTGCTGCTGAAGTCCTAAAGTTATCAACAGTTGACCTGGAAATAAGGCCTCTTCTTTCAAATCTGCCACAAGGGAATAGATGGCACACAGCTGTTGCATGTGTTCCTCCCAATACACATTGCACTGTAAGACAAAAACTGACCTATGGATAGAGTTGTTGAGGTGCTATGAATTTTCAGATGGGTCTCCCAGTGGTGAAAGAGCTCAGTCGCTGGGTTCCCATCCCATTCTGCAACACTGAGGGTGGGTAGAGCAAAGGAAGAAGGAAGGCTGCTCCTTCCCTTTTATAGTAATGGGCCCAAGGACCCATAAGGGACTTTGATCACCTGGAGTCACTGGGAAAATATGCCTTCTCTGGCTAATGAAAGGAAGAATAGGCTGGCAGCAACCGTCCTGCTATGATAGATTTGGGAGTCGCAATAAAGGAGGAAGATGTGAAATACAGCACCAGTTTCTTCTTCCACTGTCCTGTCATTCCTTCAACTGCTTCCTTATTACAGCTTCTACTGGGGCTCTTTACACTGTGGTTGTAAATATTGAAGGCATGGGAGAAGGGAGAACCCATGTTTCTCTGGACCAGGGGGCTTCCAAAGTTTCCTCCCCTGCTTTCATTGTTCGGCAAGATAATGTCCGTTTGCCATAATTGGGGCAGAGGGTAAACAGATAAGCAGACTATTATATCTTTAGGATTCACATCTGTATTATTGCTTTAGTGACTTTCAGAAACACCATGCTCATCAGTTTGACTGTTGGCAAGCCTACAAAGAGTTCATAATACAACATTATGATCCACTTGGTATGTTTCTAGAAATAAGCTCCACTAGATGCTTATTGTTCACTACAGTGTTTTATAATTGTAGTATAAGTTGAATAGCAGAATATAATAAAATGACGAATCTTTTTCTCAGTGGCCACATTGGGCTATGTGGTTGAGTGGGTCCATTTTACATCTGAAGTGTGCTTATTTTGTCCACTCTTTCCAAACTGGATAGAGGAATACGTGTTTTAAAATATGAAAGAATTTTCAATACATGTATTTTCTCTCTGAATCATTAAGGCATTGAATACATGACTAATTCTTCACCTTTATGTTGCTGTGCTAGCCCACACTTAAGAGAGCTTGTGCAATCTTGCTCATACTTATTTGGAAATTAGATCCAGCAGAGTTCACTTCTTGTAGTCACAACCTAATTGGCTTTTGCAACTGGTATCGGTATTAGAGACTCAGTTTTCTCAGAGTGGGCTTTGTAAGTTATATGTACGCGTGCATGCACAATTTCAGGAAGAGGAGTTGGCGGATGTGAAAAAGTCAGCTTTTAAAGGAAGGATGTGAAGAAGCAAGTTTTAAAGGAGTCATGCATATTTTAATCTCTTTTGTGGTTTTAGAACACCATTGGGAGCTTCCTTGGATGAGCAGAGCAACCCAGCATTAAAAGGTAAATATTTGGCACTTTCTAACGTCTTTGTTTTCTTGCTCATTGGGCAGAAAGTATAATAACTCTCCAAAATGCAGTTTGAATTGAAAGCTATTTGGAGTTTGTAAAGAGAATCTTGGGTTCCTGATCTCCCAGCACTGTTTCTGAATAAGAATGGGATGTTCATGGTTAAGTATTTACAGTAAGCATGTCTCTCTCGTGCCAAAGCTAAGTGAGACTCTTGTGTAGATATGCCTGTTGGAAGGAGAGAGCGAGAAAGAAGCATATTGTGAAATAGGTCAGCCTTTCAGAACACTCTTTCTTGACTGGCTCTGACTGAACTCACCACACCTGAAAAGTTACCACCTGCACAAACCAGAATGCAAAAGTTCAAAGTACGACAAGAATGTGCAGGTAGTGACAGGGCCGAGAAGAAGCCTCTGCAATAGCTGGAGTTCTTTCATTTCATTTTCCAGGGATGAAAGGGAATGCTTGTTCCCAGATAATATTTAGGCTTGAAACTTTTGGTGAGCAGTTTCAGAGCGTTAAAGCTTTGTGTCATGTTTCATGTGAATCAGAAGTACTAAGCTATGCGACATTTGTAAATAAGAAATTGCTTTTTCTTTTCTTTTTAGCTTGACAATATCGCTGGAGATTTTCCTTATGTCTTATAAGATTAATCATTTTTTCTCAAAACTGCCAGTGCTACAGTTATTCGACTGTAAAAAGCCTGTAAATGTCATTACAACTTCATACAATATGCTAGCATATGTGAAGGTTAAAGTATGGGGATTAGGACAAGGACCAGCTGTAAGCCCATTTTCAGCCGTGAAATCTTAATATAATTTGGGTCAGTCAGCATTTCACAGGCCTGTTGTGATGAGGAAAGAAAGTGGAGAAGGGGATGATATATAAAGGAAAGACGAGGTGCAAATAAATAGATATTCCAAAATATGTTCAGTGTTTTAATTTACAGTTGACAGTATTGCTGGAAAATAACCAGAGCAATAGATTTTGATTTTGACAAACTGATATCTTTTTTAGGCATGCTGGTGAGGAATGGAGGAAGCTTTGAAGATGATTTGTCTCTGGGAGCAGAAGGTGGGTGTGATATTAAGCATATGCTTTTAAAAAAATAAAAAAATAAAACTATTCCGCTTTTCTAAAACTGAACAGTGTATTTTTATTCTGATTGAAGCATGTGAGCTTACTAGTTGTTACTATAAAAATGTAGGAAGAGATCCTTGAGAAAAATGTATCCGAAATATCTTTCAGTAAAATATAACATTTTTTCAGACCTTTTTTCAGTTTTCAAAATGAGACAGGTATACTCATGGCAAATAATGTTTCAGTGAGACGCTACAACTTTCTTGAAATTAGCAATAGCAATAGAAGTTAGACTTATATACCGCTTCATAGGGCTTTCAGCCCTCTCTAAGCGGTTTACAGAGTCAGCATATTGCCCCCAACAACATATTTGCAACGTGTAATTTATTCCACTTCAACA